TAGATGTTGAACAGCATTGGGGAGATGATCGACCCCTGTGGGACCCCACAATTGGGGCACCACGGGGCCGAGACGCTCTCCTCAAGCTGCACTCTCTGGGGACGGTCCTCCAAGAAGGAACGGAGCCAGGCCAAAGCCCGACCACCTATTCCCAACTCAGTGAGCCTCCCCAGGAGGTCAATGGTATCAAAGGCCGCTGAGATGTCGAGGAGGACCAGCAGAGACACTTTGCCCCTGTCGGCCTCCCCTCAATAGGTCATCACACAGGGCGACCAATGCCGTTTCTGTACCGTGGCGCGGCCTGAAGCCCGACTGGAATGGATCCAGGGCATCTGTTTCATCCAGGAGCGCCTGAAGCTGATCGGCCACCACCCTCTCGACTACCTTGCTTAAGAAAGAAACATTGGCGATGGGCCTATAATTGCCAATTTTGTCCGCCGCCAAACTAGGTTTCTTTCTAATGGGCCTAATGAGTGTCTCCTTGAGGGCAGAAGGAAATCTGCCCTCAAGGAAAGACCCATTAATTATTACAGTGGCCCATTCCGTTGTTGAAGGCCTGGCTGCCTTGAATAGCCAGGCCGGGCAAGGGTCCAGGGAGGAGGTGGTGGCGCGACAGCGATCAAGCGCCCTGGCCACAGTATCAGGCGTAACAGGCTGAAAGGAATCAAAAATCACCGGGCAAGACAGAGCGCTGAACATCTCACTGTATTCAAAAAGGAGAAAGCATTATTATCTTTTCCAGAGAATCTCACTTTCTTATGATGTGCCCAAAGCAGGACAGCCTCAGCTTCAGCATAAGTATTTGCTTCCAGAAATAGCTCAGGCTTGATTTGATCTAGGACCCCCTTGTTTGTCTTTCTGGCACTCCAAGGTACTGTATCTGCAAAGCTCTCCTTCAGCACCACATTTCAAACAAAGCATTTTCCCCTGTCATCTTTCTTGACTGTCGGGATTTCACACTCCTACCTGATGACTTGCAAATTCAAGACAGCGAATGATCTTGGTCTTAAGATAGTACTTCTGCTGCTTCCTATATTGTACACCAATTTTCTCAAAAGAAACTTCTATTGGTCAGAATCCTATGGGTATTTACATAAAGCCTGCAGAACCTGTTCTGGCTAATTAAGGAAGTGGTGTGCCTTGCAGCTGAGCCTGGCATCCACAAATCTTAGTTGCACACCTGGGTGAAGAACCCGGCGCTGGGGCAGGACACTCTTGGGCATCTCATCAATTAGCTGTAGCAAGTTCCTCAAACCTTACACAAACAACAACAGAATTCTGACCACTGGTTTTGGCCATGCTACCTTAGGATAAAATTACTTCCATTAAACCTGCGTAGGACTGCAGCCTTATTTTAAACTTCATTTTATTCCGTACAATTTGCACGTGAATAAACCCGCGAATACCCATAGGATTCCACTGATCGTGCTCATGGAAGGACAAGGGAAGTGATCCCTGCTCCTTTAATCTGCCTAATACTCCAAAGGTGATCTCGCTTTCATTCCGAAGCACCGCAAGGCTAGTCGGACACACCAGCGTTATGTATCCGGCCCCCCCTCCCCCCCCCCCGGGATCGAACGCTTCATCTCCGCTGTCACTACTGTGGATGAACCGGAGCAAGATTTAGGAAGTAAACCCGCTTTCCGGCAGGGCTGCGAAATGCCCGGCCCCTCTCTCTCTCTCTCTCCCCAAAGTGCCGCGGACGTTTCGCCCCGCCCCCTTGGCCTCCGGGCCCGCCCCCTCCGACCGCCCTTCGCGTCGGCGTCTCAGGGCCGGGGCGCGTGCGCAGAACGCGCCTGGGGCCCTGGCCGGGCCTTCTCCTAGGCTCCTCCCCCTCCGGGCCCAGGCAGGCAAGGCAAGGCAAGGCATGGGGGCGGGGAGTGCAGGAGGCCGAGGTCGGAGCCGCGCGGCCTGAGTGGGCCTTCAGGGCAGGCGAGTGAGGGAGGAAGGAAGGCAAGGAGGATGCGACGGTGCTCGGTGCCGGCCCGGGGGTCGCCAGTCCCGCTCCTCTCCCTCCTCCTCGTCCTTGCGCAGGAGGCAGCCGGGGAGCCCTGCGCCGCCGCCGCCGCCGTGCCTTGTTCGTGCAGGCGAGGGCTGCTGGATTGTAGCCGCCTCCGTCTGCCCGGCCGCGGCTTGGAACCGGGCCTGCTCTCGCCTTTGCCCCCCGGCACCACTGCCCTGTGAGTAGCGGTCCTGGCCGGTCGCGCCTTTTCCCCCCTCCTGAGCGGGACGGGGTTTTTCCCTGGCGGGGGTGGTGGTGGTGGTGCAGGTCTCCGCTCCGCCGGCATGGCAGGTGCTCCAGCCTCTCCCGAGTGCAAGAGCGTCACGACGGAATCATACGTCGAAGGTCCTTGTGGGGGATTGGGTGGGCTTGGTCGTCTGGACAAGGCTTGCGTGTTTTCTCCCACGGTTTCTGCCAGTGGCGAGGTTTGCCTCTCGACGTCGCAGGGAAGGCAAGGAGAGAGGATCGTGCGGAGCCTCGGGGTTGCGGCGGACGGTGGCTCCTCTCATAGGGTCTCAAAACACTCAAAAAGTGGCTGACGTTGTTATAGATCCGCAGTCAGCTTTGTATTTACCAAATAGTGGAGGTTTGTGTGGCTCAACTAATGGAAAGGAAAGTGCTGGATCTTCATTGGATGGGGAGCAAAAATGGTTGGCCTGCCAATTTGTGTTCCCTGATTTGTTGCTTTTTGGAGCCTGCCAGGGAACTGAGTTTGGGTTGGTCTGTAAGAATGACAGCAGGAAGGCAAGGGGGATGGATATCCGTTGTCTGAACCTGGCCTTAATGAGACTCTTTACCAAACTTTTTTAAAAAAAGTGAAATTGAGAGTTACGAAGTTGTGCAATACTGGTTAAGCATCCACACGAACAGGTGTCTCTCAGTGTTCACTACATACTGTGTGTCAAAAGCTACTAGGGTAGGTAAGAGGCGTTTGTCCTGTCATGTTTGCTTGATCAATGGCGGTTGAACTAGTAAGCTTTCTGTGGCTTTTGCTTTTGGAGAGTTTTTGGTAGCTACACCTGGTGGAAACGATGGCAGCCAGACTGTTGTGTAGCAACCACTTTAGAGGTCATACATAGTTATGTATACATATCCAGCAAAGCCAACTACTGTATTGGCTTTCAAACGCAAATCAAAGTGTTGTTTTTGATCTGCAGAGTCCACTTTTGGGCCAAGATAGCTGCAAGGCCACCTTCTTCTGGAAGTGGCAACCTAGCATTTGAGAACCTTAGCTCTGTTTTAATTTGCTTGCCATTTTAAAAGACTAAGCTGGTATATATATGACCCAGGCGTTTCTCTGTAGCATCCCTTTGGTTGTGGAAGTCCCCTCCCAAAGGAGTTCCAGCTGGCTCTATCTTTCATGAACTTCTCAGAAGCAGCCCAAACTATTTTTTTAAAAAATAGTTCCTTTGGTTTTTAAGATTGATTTGAACATTTGATTTTGAGGTCTGTGTTTAAAATATAGCTAGAGCTGCAAAAGTGGGGATGGGGAAGGTAACAGGACTATACTGCTGGAGACTACAAGCAGGTGTTCCCTACTGAGGGAGCAAAAGGCAATACAAGATAGGCTTTTGGTTTGGTCCAGTAAGACTATTCCTAGGAAGCCAAAAGCACTAGATAGCTGTTGTGTCATTTTCTGCTAAGTGGCACTGACCTCTTTTTTTGCTCTTGTCTTGTCAGTTATCTCATGGAACGTGAAATGAAACAGAAGTAGTTTTCTTCTAGGAAGAGCTATTTCAAGGTCTATCATTCTGCTCCAAAGGTTAAGAAGATGCTATTCAAAGCATTGGAGAAAGATCCACAGAAATAGACACAATAAATATATATATAATCTATTTTATTCCCTTAAAATGTTTAACAGAGTGCCTTGAGCACTAGCAATATACTGTTTGTTGTTATTTTTTGTGTCTTTCTCCAGTGCTTTGAATAGCTCCCTCTTTTTAACCTTTGGATCAGAATGATAGACCTTGAAATAGTTCTTCCTAGAAGTAAATTGCTTCTGTTTCATTTCAGAATGCATGCCTACATTACAAACTTCTGCAGTTAGGTTCTGTATCAGTCTGGGTTGTCATGATGTCCTCCAAAGAATCCTGGAAGTTGTAATTTGATGCTAATGCTGCAAATTCCCTGTAAAAATATCTCTTGCATCCTTTGCAGTACTATAGTTCCCAGAATTCCTGCTTAGGGAAACAGATATTAAACTACAGTAGTTTGAGGCTTTAGTATTGGTATGTTTGGCCTTGTGTTACATGGGAAGGATTCTAGGATGTTCACTTATGTTATACATTGAGACATGGAAGCCTTATTGATAGCTAAAGGAATCCCATGCTAACAGAATAAGCAGTGTCACCAAGTTATATATAAAGACATGCAACAGAGAGGGGTGATGTAGGTTTATATGCATGTATTTTATTATTATTTAAAAGTGGAATTTGTGTGTTTGTATCATGAAAGTTACTTCCCATTATTGGAACTCTTTCCTGAAAACTGGCAATTGTTGATTCTGATTCTAATAATATCTTCTAGTTGTTGGTCATGAGCCCAGGGCTGCATCTGTCCTTTCATATTTAAGTTTAATGCCAAATGCTTCTATTATGAAGCTACTTAATCTGCTTTCTAGTAATGTTGCTTCTGCTGGCATTAAAAAAAGTAGTTGCCAATTAAATGACTTTAAATAGCTTAAGGATATTATTCAAGCTGTATAGCTCAGCGAGTTAGGTATCTGGCTGTGGAGCCAGAGGTTGGAAGTTCAGTTCTACACTGGGCATCACAGAGCCAGCCTGTTTGGCCTTGACCAAGCTGTACCATCCCAGGGAATCTCCAGAAGAAGGTCTCATAAACCATTTCTGAGTACTCTCTACCTAGAAAACCCTGAAAAGGATTGCTATAAGTCACACAAATGATGGCACACAATTACTATTACTGAAGTTAGGGAAGTGTGCTTTTTGTTGAGCCCTTAAGCATGCTCAAGTAAGCAGAGAGTGGACTAAAGTAACCCTCTAATATTTATGGGAAAGTACTGTGGCAGTTTAACAGATTTATTCTGGCATAAGCATGTTTGCTTTGTCACAATGCCTTACTATGTTATCCTCAGTTGGCAGATTATGTATACACACAGGAGTACAAAGAAAGAAAACTGTAAATAATAGTCTGTGACATTTCTATGCAAAGCTCAAATATATACAAACTCAAATGTATATTTTTCATATATAAAAATGTCACAGATCTCTTACATCTGGTGGCTTATTGGACTTACTGCTTAAATTTCCCCATTTAGTCAAGATATGACATGCCCAGGATGTGGAGAGCCAGATGGATGAGATGTCACTTTTGTTCAGGAGAATGGCACCTCTACAGGAGAAAAGAGAAACCTTGGGGTGGAAGATATAAAAACCCTGGAGGAGATTGATGGAGGTAGAAGGACAAGAGGAGAGAGAGAGAGGCTTCAAAGAAGGAGAAGGGAGGAGCCTGGGTGATGCCCCAGAGGATATGGACAATGTGTGTAGTGCTGAGGAGGAGGAGAAGAAAGACCCCCAAATCTCAGAGCAAGAGGGACTACTTAAAAAACTGGGATCATGGTTCAGTTGAGGGTAGCCAAAGGAGAGAGCAAAACACCAGAACCCCAGCTGCTTTTAGAGGGTAACAATGTGTGAAGTCAGAACAGAGACCAGACCCCCAACAAAGGTAGGTGCAGGGAAGCAGACTCTGTCTGGATTCTGGCCGATGATATGCCACGTGCCTTCACATCACTGTGGGTGTACCAGCTCTTCTCCAGGATCCTTGCTTCGGTGTCATGAGGTGACTGACCCTGTAAGCAACCCCATCCCATTGTTGTAAACTAGGGGTGTGAGAAAAGACTGGACAGAATATCAGTACTTCTGCAATGAAATTTTTGCACTCTGTACTTAGGTTTATGTGAAAGAAGTCTCAGGTATGTCGGTGGCATTTGCTCCCAGGTAACACTGTAGTCCAAATGTAAATATAACACGAACAATAGTGGGTTTGGAATGGGCAGACTATTCTTCAGTTGACAAAGCCCCTCTTGTCTTGACTGATTTCAGATCTGCCTGCACAGTTCTCATGGCTCAACTGAGATCAGTTGTCAGAAGATTCTCTCTCTCTCTCTCTCTCTCTGATTCATAGTGGTTGACTTCTTTAATTTCTCCCACCCACCCCAACATCATGTAAGTCTCTCTCTCTCTCTCTCTCTCTCTCTCTCTCTCTCTCTCTCACACACACACACACACACACACACACACACACACACACACACACACACACACATCAACTGGCCTAGTGTCAGCTGAGCAAGCCCTCAGCCATCTTGGCCAGTTAGGATTACGTCCTAAGTGTGTGTATGATTGCTGCCAGAAGTGCACAGTATGGAAGAGATTTTCTGCTGTTTGCATGATTGGTCAAATCTGTTTAACAGCTGCTTACTGCTCTTTAAGTTTAATTTGGGGAAATGACTTTTGCTTTTAAAACTTTGAGGAAGTGTCATCATCGCTTGTGGTTCTCACTCTCAGAAAATGCTGTGCGGTTTTATTTAATCAAGATAAGGGAATCATGTCATGTGGCATTTAACTTTCTAAATTGTGAAATAAATTTGTGACTTTGGTCTCTTGAGTAAGACTGTATACCAAACAATCTCTGGGAGAAAATGAATGATTTGAGACTGCTGCTTCTAGAAAAGGAACAGTAAAACATATAGTCTGATATTTAAACAAAATGAGGTGGTGGTCCTATTGAACTAGTCAGACACTTATCATTTGAACTGACATTCTGCATGTGACACTGAGGTTCATGTCCTGTGCATATTTAGAGGTAAGTCTCATTGAACAAAGCAGTATTTCCAAATAAAGTCTGCAAAGATGAGACTGCATATGATTTCATACAGCGAAGGACAGTACAGTACTTGTATTTAGATGGTGATTTTATCAGAAAGTAAGCAGAAATATCTCTGAAATTTTAGATGAATTACTTTTTTAAATTTTTATTTTTTTAATTTAAATCATCCAAAAAATCCATTTAAAAAAAGTCGTGATCAAATTTACATCAGATTCACCCTGTCTTGAATACATGTAGGCATCAGACCACACCAGTGTTCAGTGATTAAATTATTCTGCTTTTTATCCATGTTACATGGGGGCGGGGGAATTGTATATAGGTTTGGATATG